TGGAAGGTTTTGCTACATACAAAGTATCCATGTGCAGAGCGCATTAGGTTGCCACATATTACTGACAGAGAACTTTCCCAGTGAATTTTCCCAGTGATTATGCATTACATCATTGTTCTAGCAATTATGCAGACACATCATTATTGCAGTTATGCAGACAAATCATTATTCTAATAATTGTTCAATTTACTACATTAGTACAGCTTTAGATTACGTACCATTTCATCATAAAGCTTTTGAATAAAAAAAATGTCCACTATTTTGTGAAAAAAAATAGTGAACATAATGTGAAAAAAGCGGACTGTCCACTCAAATAGTGGACACCTGGCAACTCTAATGTCAATGCAGTTGACTAACTTCTGTCTGTACGTTGTGAGGTCTGTTTCCTCTGCTATGCGAACAAGACTAGCTGGGCATATTCAGTATATTATAGCTGAGCTAGCCATGGAATTATGTATTGTGAAATGTTTTAATAAAATAACAATGTTGTAAGGGACCTTGAAGGTCTTCTAGTCCAACCTCCTGCTCAAACATAGGAGACCCTAAGGACAAATGGCTGCCTAGTCTCTTCTTACAAAAACCGCCAGTGATGGAGCATCACAACTTCTGACATATTGAGCTTTTAATTGCAGCTAATGTAAACTGCCACAGCAGTTTAAATCCCTGAAATATCAAAAGGAGAGAGATCCTAAGTGCCGCCATTTTGTTCGGGGGGGGGAAACCAACATTCCCCTCCAGTCTAGAGCGTAGGTTGCCATAGCAACCCTAAAGCGCGGGGGGGAGGACGATCCTTTCAGGGAGGAGTACAACAGCCCCGCCGTCTAAGGTACCCTCGTCAACGATTGGTCAGTTCGTGCGAGGGGCGGGGCGCTACGCAAGGCGTGAGCCGGAAGTCGGAAACAGGAAGCAGCTGGGCGGGGCCCACGAAACAAAAATGGTGCCGCTGCGTCTCGCGTCTCTGCAGCGCGGGAGGAGGTGAGTGGAGACGGAGCGGAAAGTGAGTTCGCGAGCTGTTTGTTCCGCTCCCTCCACGCGCAAAAGTGCTGCGCTGGACTGTGGGAAGCAACCGGGAGGAGGGGAGTAGTAGAAAAGAGTGCCTCTGCGCGTTTGCAGAGTGCCAGGCGCCCCTTCTCGCTGGAAGGAGGGACTGAAAAGTGGAAAGGCAGGGAAAGAAAGTGGAATTCTGGGAGAATTCTTAAGAGACACGAAGTAAGGATGACTTTGGATCAAAAGCCACGTTGGCTTAACGGTCCCCCAAAGCAGTAACAATAACGGAGTTGGAAGGTACCTTGGAGGTCATCTAGTCCAACCCCCTGACTCGAGCAGGAAACCCTATACCATTTCAGACAAGTGACTGTCCAGTCTCTTCTTGGAAATCTCCAGTGATGAAGCACCCACAACTTCTGGAGGCAAGCCATCCCACTGGTTGATTGTTCTCAGTGTCAGGAAGCTTCTCCTTAATTCTGGGTTGCTTCTCTCCTTGATCAGTTTCCATTTGTATAGCCCTGTGACCTTGTTGGGTTTCCTGCAAGAACTGCAGGAGCTGGATAAAACTAGTCTAGAGAAAAGAAGGACTAAGGGGGACATGATAGCAGTGTTCCACTATTTGAAAGGCTGCCACAAGGAAGGGGGGGTCAACTTATTTTCCAAAGCAGCAGAAAGCAAGACAAACAATGGATGGAAACTAATCAAGGAGAGAAGCAACCTGGAACTAAAGAGAAATTTCCTGACAGAACAATTGACCAGTGGAACAGCTGGCCTTCATAAGTTGTGAGTGCGCCATTACTAGAGGCTTTTAAGAAGAAACTGGACAGCCATTTATCGGAAATAGTATAGATCTCCTGTGGGAGCAAGAGGTTGGGCTAGANAAACCCATCTATTCCATGCGGCCGGCCTGGCGTAGTTTTGATTGGGCTTTGCTAGGGGTTTTATATGGGGTATTTTAGAGCAGGCTTTTTATTCAATATTTATTGTGATTTTTATTATTGCCTGTTCACCGCCCTGAGTCCCGTAAGGGAGATAGGGCGGTATATAAATTTAAATAATAAATAAATAAATAAATAAATAGCTCCCCATCATATGTGAGTACATATTTGCCAAGAAAATGAGACATTTTACAATGGAGAAAAAAGCCATGGTTCTGTTATGCAAGGCTAATCTTACCCATTTATAAATGTACTTGGAAAGACTGCATTGTAGAAATGTACTTCCACAACAGGCTTAATTTGATTATTGAATTAATTCTGGGGTAATCTAGCAAGGCATACATCAGGGGTCTTCAAACTTGGCCTTTTTATGACTTGTGGACTTCAGCTCCCACAATTTCTCAGCCAGGCATGCTGGCTAAGGAATTCTGGGAGTTGAAGTCCATAAGTCATAAAAGGGCCACGTTTGAAGACCTCTGGCATACATTGATGGAATGGATTGCAAATGGTAAGCCACAAAAACAAGGCACTGTTAAAATTTAGCTTTTGTATGTTATATGCTTGTAGTTACTAAGTTTGTAATTTGGTTTAGTGTTAGACTTGGGGTTATTTAAATTAAAATCTTATGCCCTAACTTGCTATAGTTGTTAGGCTGCTTTGTCTTGGGCATTGTGTAGTAAAGCTTTAAGTTATGTTCAGCCTAGCAGTGGTCACTTGTTATAGTCTACCAATACTTGAAAATAACATGTTGCTTTCTGGATACAAATACTTACATTTTAAATGTCTACTTCAAAACATGCATTTGGGATGCTTATATTAGAAGGAATCTTATTTTTAATCATTGTGTAAAGTTTTTCCTAATATTTGATTAACTTTCTGATGCGGAAAGTAATAAAATATTTTGCTCTTCAGGTGTGAATAACAGCCCTTAAATGTGTATGTATGTGAAGAGAACTCAGAAATTTGCAAGTTATCTTCATGTGTTTAGTCAAACTTAAAGCTGTTACTACAATTATTAGTCCTAAAAACTTCCTCTAAAGTAAAAACGTTGTTTACATATCTAATGGAACACTGCGTGAAAAGTAAGGGCCAATAAGAATCCAAGGTAAATAAAATGGATTAATAGTTGTACTCATACAAATTCAATAGACTTCAAAAAGGACTTCAAAGGATTTTTTTGTGTACTGTGCTCCTTCCTAATCTATATAGAAACTAGGGACCTTATTACACGCCTCTTCATACACAATACTATTTCTTCTACAGCAAGACTGGCTTTGAAGTATGGCACATAAATTTTATTAATAGCATGAATAAAATAACAAGAAATCAGTTTTAGTTTTTTTAACCATGCAGGCCGAATCCTATCTGCTGTTAAATAAGTTCTGCTGAACTCTTTGGAGCCTACTCCCAAGTAAATAAGTAGAGGATTGCAATCTGAACTATGCACTTTCCACACAAGGCTGTATTACTTTGTGGAATGTATACACAAGAGTGCTGCCATACCTTCAAAATAATGTTAATATAAAGATGTGTGAAGCACGGATAGGCCTCGACTTAAACCATTTGTTTAGTGACCATTTGAAGTTACAGTGGCACTGAAAAAATGACATTTGACTGTTTTTCATGCTTACAACTATTGCAGCATCAAGCTGATGGGATGCACACATGCTGGATTTTATAGGCAGATGTGAAATATTTCAACCTTTTTTGTGTTGATAGGATGTTGCTTTTTGTAATTATAGATGATCCAGTCCCCAGCACATCTTAGTTGGAGAAGGTGAGAGAGGCTATGGATGAAACAGTATTTCGAAGTGATACAGTACTCTCTGATATCCACCTCCACACTGCAAACAGAAGGCATTTTATGGTGAGACTGAATGCTGTTGGCCAGCCAGGTAATATAACAGTTAATGCCACCCATCAGGAATGGATGCTGTTGATTGAGAGAGAGTAAGAGTGACTGAACTCACAAAGCTTGCAGTGCTGTTGTGTAATTCTGTGCTTTTGACTTATTCATATTGTGCAAACCCAACTAGCTACAGTTCTCAGCCATGGTTTATGGTTTAGTGCAGGGGTCGGCAACCTTAAACACTCGAAGAGCCACTTGGACCCATTTCCCAGAGAAAAGAAAACACTGGGAGCTGCAAAACTTGCGCACGCAAGGGGGGGGGGAGCTTGATTGAAAAGTTTAGTTAAAAAGAAATAGAGGCTACTGTGCATGAGCTCTCTCTCTCTCTCCCTCCCTCCCTCTCCCTCTCTGTCTCCCTCCCTCTCTCTCTCTCCTCCCTCTCTCCAATCTTCTGCTCACCTGGCAAGCTGGCTTCACACTGTTCTTAGATAAGCTGACACACATTCTTATTGGGCTGGCTCTCTCCTGCCCTTAGTCTACCAGTCCTCTTCCCCCACTCAGTGTGTGTGTGTGAGAGAGAGCGAGAGTATGTGTGTATGTGTGTGAGAGAGAGAGAGTGTGTGTGAGAGAGAGAGCTTCTGCTTTCTGCTGCTTCCTGCTTCCTGCTGAGACGCAGCAAAGGCAGGAGCCCCGCCTAATAAGTTTGTCAGCTTGTCTGAGAACAGCGTGAGGCCACTCTCTTTTTTACACACACAGAGAGAGAGAAAGAGAAGGGAAGCGCAAGTGCCTCTCTCTGTCTCTCTCTCTCTGCAAATGGCAGAGGAAGCTGGGAGCCGCAGGAGAAGGCTCAAAGAGCCACATGTGGCTCTGGAGCCGCAGGTTGCTGACCCGTGATTCAGTGCATGTGCTTAAGAGAGGATGCAACAAGGAAGAAGAGGAGAAACAAGAGGGGAACACACTAGTAAAACGCATCCAAGTAAGAAAGGGACCGTGAAGGGGCTGATAGAACATTTAAGTACAAAGAAAGAAACTTCACAGAGGGAGGACAGCACATGGATGGGCTTGATGGAACAGAAATAGAATACTTCTGCAAAGCCCAAGAGGGAAGATATTTCCCTATATCTGATTTGAAACCCTCAGAAGGTCTGTTGCTTGGAATTGTTGCAGAATATAAGAGGACAAGAACAGGAGCAGAAGGTGATAGAAGTGAAGAAACTCGAATCACTCGATACAGGATTTTTAAACCTCCACGTACATAATTACGAGTTCTGTTTCACGTAGTTTCCAAAACATATGCAAGCCCAGTTAAATGGATGGATGTGTCCCAAATCACTGTAAAATAAAAATCTAGGGAAAGCAGTCCCTCGAACTTTAGAAAGTCTAATTCTCCTTTTTAAGTTTCTTTAAATGTGCAGGTCGTCTGCTTGCAAAGTAATTATCACCTGAAATTGTTGCCTCTTAGTCTTTCTCTCACAGTTCAGACTCCTTTTGGACGATAACCAGGGAGACCCTGAGAAGGAAGACGGAGGCCCAAAAGCATCCCTTGGCTGCCAGAGCAGAAGTGAGGAAGAATTAATTGCAGAGGGCAGAGATGGTGCTGAAGATTCTCCAGACAGTCCCGAAAAGGAAGGTGACTCCTGTGGAGAAATTAAGGCCTTGTTGGATGACGATGGGGACCTGCAGGTGGTCCGGAAAGCGCCCTTCCGTCCTGCAGGAGATGAGGATCATACAAGGACTAAGGCCTGCCCCATCATCTTGACTAAGGGTGGAGATGTCCTGGAAGAACAGGAGCAGGACGGCAACAGTTGCAATGTTGTTAAAATAGGTCAGTAACACCATAATAGTCATTTCTCATACAAGCAGTGCTCAGCTTACAAATCAATTGCTTAGCAACCATTCAAGGTTACAACAGATCTCCCAGGGCTACTTATGACTTGGATTCCAAGTTCTGACAATGGAGGGAGGGTAACCATGTGATCCCGTTTGTACACTTGGCAGCTGACCTGCATTTACAGTCCTAGTAACATCCCACAGTCACATGACCACAATTTACAACATTTACAATATGGCTGGCTGGGGAATTCTGGGAGTTGAAGTCCACGCATCTTAAAAGTTGCACAGTTGAGAAACACTGCTGTACAGGGTTGGTTTTTCACTTTTGGGCAGAGAAGATCTCTATTTTTTTTTTTATTATTATGATGGTGAACAGGAATTAAAAGTTCATACTTTAATTCTCCATTTCGGATTTTTGCCCTCCCTACTCTGATAGGATGTGAATTATACAGTTTTCAAACCATATCTCAAGAAAGGAAGTACCGTATTTTTCGCACCATAAGACGCACCTGACCATAAGACGCACATAGTTTTTAGAGGAGGAAAAAAAGAAAAAAAATATTCTAACCGGCGGCG